ATGTCTGTGAAGGTTCTCATTCATCCAGGTCATGGTATATCTGTACAAAATAAGTCAAGACAACTGGACTTTCTGTATTTTTCTTGAAAACATTTTACTGGTCATCCAACCAGCTTTCTCAATTCAGAATGATTTGTACCAATATTCTCACCATATTTATTCCCAGATAATTTTTGTACAAGTCATTCTGAATTGAGAAAGCTGGTCGGATGAACCAGTGAAATGTCTTCAAGAAACATACAGCAAGTCCAGTTGTCTTGACTTATTTTTTACAGATATCCTTCCTAAGAGTTTCCTGGAAACTGTGCCAATGGCGTGACTCCCCTTGAATAAACACAGTTTGAGAACTAAGGACAGATTACCTGTTTTTCAGGAATGCCAGTGCTGGGTTTGACCTTCCACAGGACACCTTTGGACAATGATGAAATCTGCAAGAAAAAATAACTAAATTATAATATACTGTATAATATTTATAAACATCTCTGGTATTTTTACACACTTACCCCTATGGTTAACTGGTTAGGGGTTAAAAACTCCCCTAAAACCAGTTCACCAGGAAGGGTATGACCATCTACTTGTCCCCCATAGCGCGGTAAGTAGGTGGTACATAAGCATCTCTTGGATGGTACACCCTTTTGGGCACCAGGGATGGCGAAGATCCTGCTGCCCATTAGCAGTGGGCAATGGTGATTTGGGAGAGGGACCCCCATTTTTTTGTGGAAGCCCCTAAAATCATCTATTAGAGTTGCACAATTGTTGCTCCCTTGCTATGGGGATACCAACCTGAATGCCTGGTGTGCTGGGCTGGTAAGTTCTGGGAGGGGGGTACATTAACCTTTGCCTAGTATGAGCAGACAACAACAATACTGTACATCTCTGCTATAAAGCATGGCAATGTTATATACAAATTTAATTTAATTTTGTGTGTTGTTCATTTATTTCTGAAATGGACAACAGTGACAAATCGTATAGAAGCCAGCTTGATGCCCCTCACTGTAATCATTACTAATACAAACTGAATATTATGCTGGAAACCTGAAAAGGTCAAAGAGTAAAGAGGGGTGCAAATAAACTCCTCATAAGTTTATCTTACAAAACATATTTTTGCCATTCCCACCACGTGAATATTCTTATCCATATTGCATTATATCTAATGTAATAAGCTGTAATTTAGCCAACATTTATTTATTCTTTACAAGAGATTAAAAAAAAGCATTTGATATGTAATTAAGAGTGTACTGTTTAACTTTAATCAATTGGTTATATTTTTCAGGTACATCAGAATTGCATTTTTAAGATATTACTCTTGAGTTCAGTGTCACTTTAAAGTTGCTCCCGTGAATCAATATCCAGGGTTAAAACGGTATTTGGTTGTCCTAAGACTTATTTTTATATTGTGGCAGACAAATGTACTAAAGAAGAAACACACAAGACTTAACAGAGACTGGATAAACACTGAGTACAAATAAACTATATATAAACGAATATACCGGTAGTTTATATAAATAAACTCTCTCTCTCTCTCTCTCTCTATATA